CACGCCCGGCTGATTTTGTGATTTATTGTAGAGATGAGGTCTCGTTGCTCAGGCGGGTCTCGAACCCGCAGGCTCAGGCAATCCACTCACCTCAGCCTCCCAAAGGCGCGGGATGACAGGCTGAGCCACCGAGCCCAGCGACTTTTTTCTTGATTCATGTTGAGAGTTGCACCACTTTTGTGACTTGTTCTTTTGTATGTTTATTTTTTATTTAATTAATTTCTGTTCTCTCTTTTCTCCTACTTTCTTTAAGGCTACCATGCTCTTCTTTTTCTAACTTATCATATGAATAATTAACTCATTAATTTTAAGCACTTTTCCTGGAAACAAAAGATCCATTGGGGTAGAAGCTTGAGATCAAAACAAATGAGCAATAACAGCCATTAAAGAAGTGGTAAATTGGCCCTGATGATTCATAGCTTTTCCTCTGGAGAAACTTACTGATTCTGAGTAGAGGTAGAGGCAAAGGAACAGAGATAACAAAGAGGTAGCTGAGTATTACCAAACTGAAAACCAGCACTGACCCAGCTTAATGTCTAGTTGTATTACTGTCATCAGTCCATCATTCTATCAGACTAATAGAGGAAAATCTAAATACTTTCTAGTGGAAGATTCCATCATCTGGAATTTCTTCAGTTCTTTTGTCCACAATGTCTAGAACACAATCACACCTATTAGTATCTTAAAAGACATTGCCATAATAAGAGCAAAAAAAAAAAGAAAAGAAAAGAAAAAAGAAACAACAGAAGCAGACTCACAGATTATACCAAAAAAGAAGGCATTTAAGAATTTAAAATTAACTATGATTAAAATGTCACAAAACAAATGAAAAGATAGTAATGTAAAGAAAGTCAATAAAAGAATGAAGATTTCCATAGACAACTGGTAGTTATAAGAGAGAATCAAATTGAATTTCTAGAACTAAAAAGAAAATATCTGACATGAAAACCTCCTCTTTAAAGAGGACACTCATCACAGCAGAAGACAGGATAAGTGAACTGAAATCAATGAGTCAACAGAAAATTCTCAAAGTCCAGCATAGAAAAAAACAGAGGGGAAATAGAGAAGAAAAGTAGATAAGCATAAATATAATCGTGAAATATGCTTAAAAGATCTAAGATAGGTAAAATTGGAGAGAAGAGCAAATAGTCCTGTATTTTCCAAAAACTGAACAAAAACTTCCATTTCTAGGTAGACTCTACCAGATCACTGCAAGCCAACATTCCCACTGTGATAACTAAAAAAAAAAAAAAAAAAAAAAAAAAAATGCTAAAAAAGATAGTGATCTTGATTCATTCGATCACTGTAAATTATAGAGGCTCTTCTGTAGAATAGAGAAAATCAAGACTCTGCTATCTGTTCTCCATGTAGGTGAATAAGCAATTAAAATACAGTACTGAAAGACGTTCTGAATATACACTTAGTACAAAATTGTTTTCCTTAAATGGCAGTTATGCAGAAAAATTCCCAAAATTCAAACATTTAGTAATTTAGAAAAAAGAAGTAATTATAGGACAGAGCAGAGGGAGGCAGAAAGGCAACTGAAGAAAAGAGAGGTTTCAGGTGCTGAATGGAGGTGCCCATTTCCAACTAACAATCCGCAAATTAATCCTTTGAGAAAATGAGCAGAAATTTAGCTGGTTTCTTGGCATGCAGCATAAAATATACAATGGAGAAGGCTAATATTTTAGAAAGCAGATTCTCTATCACTTTGTACAGACATCCTTACCCAATGAGACCAAGTTAGTATAACTCTCCAACATCACATCTCTGTACAAATCTTTCTGATCTGAGTTTAGACATTCCCACTCCTGCTGAGAGAAGTCTATGGCAACATCACCGAATATCAATGGTACCTGAAATGACAAAAACATATGTATTATTTGTAAAAGTAAATATTACTTTTTAAAGATGGAATACTAAATTGCAATAAAGGGGCAATATATAAAAACAAGCAGTCTGGAGTTGCAAGATTGTGACCTGATTAGATTAGACAAGAGTAAATAAATGAATATATTTTGAGTGCCTATGCGATCTTGAAGAAACCTGTTGGAGCACACAAAATTTCCTCAGTAACAGAAAAAAAAACAACATAAATGACAATATGACAATAATCAGACTTTTCTAACTAAATGAATAGCTTATATAAGCATACATTCTATGTACCTAAATTACAGATTATTAATAAGTACAAGTTCTTGTATTTTTTCTCTTCAAGGAATATGTAAAAAATGAATTGATAAAATCTCCCCTCTCAAGAAATATATAATAACATCTCTTCTAGCCACAATGAAATAACAGGAATTGAATTTACTCTCCTGCATGAAATAACTGAAAACCTGGACAAAAATATATTAAATAATGATTTTCAAGACAGAATACAGGGCAATGATCCCTAAAAGACAAGTAACAAATGAGGTGAAACCTAAAGTTTCCCTAGTTTATTGTAAGGAGACAGTTTTTAGGCTATGGCAAAGGGAGGGGAAACTAAGCAAAGCCCAAAAGATTCCCTAGGCATTATTCACATAGCAAAACCAGACAAAGACACCACAGGAAAAGATGTACAAACCAATATCCATCACAAACATAGATGCAAAGATTTCAAACAACATTTGAGTGTATTGAATTCAACAATATATTAAAAAAGAAAACCCAACATGACTAAGACTGAATTCAAGGCTGGTCTGACATTTAAAAATTAGACAAAGGGTCAGGCGTGGTAGCTCAAGCCTGTAACCCCAGCACTTTGGGAGGTCGAGGTGAGGGGATTGCCTGAGTCCATGGGATCGAGAACAGCCTGGGCAACTTGGTGAGACCTCACCTCTATGATAAATAAAAAAATTAGCTGGGTATGGTAGCTTGCACCCATAGTTCCAGCTACTTGGAAGGCTGAGGAGGAAGGATCATTTAAGTCCCGCAGGTCGACACTGGGGTGGCGGTGAGCACACCACTGCACTCCAGCCTGGGTGATGGAGTGAGACTCCAACTTAAAAAATAAAACAAAAAACAGACAATGTAATTCACCATATTAACAAAATACCAAAGAAAAACCATATAATATCAACAGATACAAAAAAGGCATTTTGATAGAATCCAATATTCACCCTTGATAAAAGTTCTCAGCAAAATACAAAAAAGGGGACATCTTCCCAACCCTAACCTAATTAATGACATCTATAAAAAACCTATACCAAACATCACATTTAACAGTGAAAGGATACATACTGTCTTTCTAAGATTAAAAATATGGCAAGGATATCTACTCTCACCAGTTATATTCAACATTGTACTAGAGGTCCTAGTCAATGCAACCAGGTAAGAAAAAGATATAAAAGTTGTCTAGATTGAAAAAAAAAGTAAAAATGTCTTTTGTCAAAGATGACATGATTGTTTATAAAGAAAATTCAATGGGATCTAATAAAAAGCCACTGAAATTATGAAGTGAGTTTAGCAAAGTAAGAAGATACATCTCAATCTATTGAGAATCAATTGCATTTTAATATTAGCAAGAGTTGGTGGAAATGAAAAATAAAAATACTCAATATCAAATGAAAAAATATCAAATATTTAGGGATCAATTTAGCATACTCTGAAAACTATAGATAATTACTGAGAAACCATTTTAAAGATGCAAATAGCCGGGCTTGATGGCTCAGCCTGTAATTCTGCACCTTGGGAGGCTGAGGTGAGTGAATTGCCTGAGCCCGTGGGTTCGAGACCCGCCTGGGCAACTTGGTGAGCCCTCATCTCTACAATAAATAAAAAATTAGCCGGGTGTGGTAGCGCGCGCCTGTAGTTCCAGCTACTTGGAAGGTTGAGGCGGAAGGATCGCGGGAGCGGCCACTGCACTCCAGTCTGGGCGACAGAGTGAGACTCCAACTCAAAAAACAAAAAAAGATGCAAATAAATAGATATAGCATGTTCATGGGTCAGATGACACTTATTTTTGCAAATAGATATACAGGTTCTGTACAATATCATTCTAAATTCCAATAGGTTTTTTGTAGAAACTGATAAGCTGATTCTAAAATACAGATAAAAACACAAAGGACAAGAATAGCATAGACAATGTTGAAGAAGAACAATTGAAGAACTGACCCCATTAATCGGAAACGAAATATAATCAAGAGAATGTAGGGAGTAAATACAGAGATAGCTCAATGAAACAGAGAGTTGAGAAACAGACCCACACATATTTAGACAGTTGACTTTCAACAAATGTACAAAGGCAATTCAGTAGAGAAAGGATAGTCTTTTCAAAAAATGTTGCAGGAATAGGCTGGGCTTGGTGGCTCAGACTGTAATCCCAGCATTTTGGGATGCCAAGGCGAGTGAATTGCCTGAGCCTGCAGGTTCAAGACCAGCCCAGGTAACTTGGTGAGACCTTGTCTCTAAAATAAATTTTTTAAAAATTATCTGGGCATGGTAGCACACGCCTGTAGTTCTAGCTACTTGGAAGGCTGAGGCAGAAGGATGATCTGAGCCCAGCAGGTAGAAGCTGCAGTGGCCATGAGTGTGCCACTGCACTCCAGCCTAGGTGAGACCCAACTCAAAATAATAATAATAATAATAATATATTCATATGAAAAAAAAACCCTACACCTTACACTATATGCCAAGATCAACTTAAAATGACTCCAGAGCTAAATGTAAAGCCTAAAACTATAGATTTTCTTGGAGAACACATTGTATAAAAATCTATGTAAGTTTGGGATTAGGCAAAGATCTCTAAATACAACGTCAATAGCACAATCTGTAAAATAAAAGGCTGACAAACTGGATCATATCAAAATTAAAACTTCCAGTCTTCAAACGTCAGTTAAAAGAATGAAAAGACAGCATGTTATATCCGCCCTAAAGAGAAATGAGGAACCTGCACCCCAAATTTGGTTCAGAAGTTGAGACTGATGATAGCACACACCCTGAGAAAGCATGAAGAATATTTATTATTCACACAATGGGACTTTATGGAGAGAGCAGGATAGCTCTTAAGCAAGTATGAAAAAGCCTTAAGAAAGAAGAATGGCTTGGAATTGTTATTATGTTTAGCAGGTGAGGTAGGGTAAAGGTCCTAACCCAGAAGCAGCTTATGTGGTCTAAACCAACCACCCACCAGCACCAGAGGAGAGAGCATCTGAATTTTCTTATCAGCTTGCCTAGATATTGGACAGAAGGGAAAAAGAATGGGGTAGGCTGAAAAGCTATCAGCAATGAAACAGCACAAATAGAGTCAGATTATTTATTATACTGCAGACTGTGAGAAAATATTTGGGAAAGCTGATATATGATAAAATACCTTTTTTTTTTTTGAGTTGGAGTCTCACTCTGTCGCCCAGACTGGAGTGCAGTGGCCACTCCCGGCCACCGCAGCCTCGACCTGCTGGGCTCCGGCGATCCTTCCGCCTCAGCCTTCCAAGGAGCTGGAATTACAGGCATGCACTATCACGCCCAGCTGATTTTTTGATTTATTGTACAGATGAGGTCTCGCTGCCCAGGCGGGTCTCGAACCCACGGGCTCAGGCAATCCACTCACCTCAGCCTCCCAAAAGCGCGGGATTACAGGCTGAGCCACCGAGCCCGGCTGATAAAATACTTTTATCTAGAGTATATAAACAACTCAAATTTCAGTATTAAGAAAACAACCAAATTTTTTAAAGCGTAAACATTTCAACAGATACTTTATCAAAGAAGATATACAGATAGCTAAGTAACACTCAAAAAGAAGTTTGGCATCAATATTCATTGGGTAAATACAAAATAAAAATCAATACAAATTAAAACCTTAGTGAGGTACTACAACTATTAGGACGGTTAAAATTAAACACTGAGCCGGGCTCGGTGGCTCAGCCTGTAATCCCACGCCTTGGGAGGGCTGAGGTGTGTGGATTGCCTGAGTCCGCAGGTTCAAGACCTGCCTGGGCAACTTGACGAGACCTCATCTCTACAATAAAACCAAAAACTAGCCAGGCATGGTAGCGCGCGCCTGTAGTTCCAGCTACTTGGAAGGCTGAGGCGGAAGGATCGCCAGAGCCCAGCAGGTCAAGGCTGCAGTGGCCGGGAGCAGCCACTGCACTCCAGTCTGGGTGACAGAGTGAGACTCCAACTCAAAAAAAAAAAAAAAAAATTAAACACTGACCATTTCAAGTGCTGCCTAAGATTTGAAAAAGGAAAAAACTAAACAGAACTCTCATACATTGCTGGTAGGATTGTAAGATGGCATAATCACTCTGAAAAATAATTTACGTGTTTCTTAAGAAGTTAAGCATCCATATTACCAAGCATTCCAATCCTAGCAACTACTCATGAGAAATAAAAGCATATGTGCACACAAAGATTTGTGCATGAATAATCAAAGGACCTTTAATTGTAAAAGCCAAAAAGTAAAAAGAACTTAAATGTCTATCCACAGATAAATAAATAAACAAATTGTGGTATATCCTTAGAATACCAGTGAGCAATAAAAGAGAATATCCCACAAACATATGCATTAACATGGGCTCTCAAAATAACATGTTCAGTAAAATAATACAGACAAAAAATGGAGTACACAATGTATGACTCCATTTATATAAAATTCTAGAAAATGTAAACTACCCTAAAGTGACAGAAATCAGAACAGTGGTAGCTGGGCACAAACATCAGGGTAGGGTGGGCAGGATGGAGGTAGTTATAAAAAGGTATGAGAAAACTTCTGAAATAATTGATTTGTTCATTATCTTGACTGTGATAATGGTTTAGCAAAAATATACATGTTAAGACCTATCACTTCAAACAAGAGTAGTTTATTATCTGTCAATTAAAACTAAATAAAGTTGCTTTAAAAAATATATACATACATTTAATTATATGTCAG